GAATTGGCCCCAAAATCACCCAGCTGGCTTTCGTGCCTAAGGCGGGACTAGAACTCACTGTTTCCTGGTCATTGTGCCCATAATCAGCCAGTTGGATTTTGTGCTTAAAGTAGGACTAGAACTCACCGTCTCCTGGTGATTGGCCCGAAGTCACCCAAGTGGCTTTTGTGCCTAAGGCGGGACTAGAACTCACCGTCTCCTAGTGATTAGCCAAAAATCACCCAGCCAGGTTTCATGCCTAAGGCGGGACTAACAACTCACTAGTTCCTGGTGATTGGTCCAAAGTCACTGAGTCGTCTTTGACGCATAAAACGGGACTCGAACTCACTGTCTCCTGGTGATTTGATCCCTCCAATCACCTAGCTGCCTTTCCTTCTTAAAGTGGGGACTAGAACTCCCTGTCTCCTGCTGATTGGCCTAAGATGCACTATAGCTTGACGGATGTTATTTCCCAACCTGGAGATGGGTGGACTTCAACTCCCAGAATCCCCTAGGCAGCTTAGTCACTGCTGGGAACTCTGGGAATCGAAGTCCAGAAGTTTTCCGGTTCGGGAAAGGCAGAAGTGGGTTTCACATAATTTTACCACCAGCTCGCCGTGCACCGAAAATGTGACGCATGCACACAGCTTAGAAAACGTGGCTAAATAGGACGGCATAGCGCCGGGGCGGCTGAGTGGCTTACCTGCAGGTTGCCATTACCGGTTTTCCCGAACCGGACTGAACCAGCTGAATATCATCACTGAGGAAAGTCCCGTTCAAAAGAAAGAGAGATTATCTTTATCAAATTAAAGATGAAAATCTCCACCCGAGTCAATCAGGTGACACTTGTTTTCTTCGTTTTGACGTTCTCCGGATTCTTCCACTTTTGCGGCTGACGCCGGCTTTGTCGAGAGCCAAAGATATCTTAAAAATACTCAGTGCCGTTCTGAAAAGCTGGTGCGATTCACTTCAACGGCTGCAGCGAACGAGGTTGTAACGTTGGGGGCCTGCGATTCACTGAATGACGGACGTTGCGATCCCAGTTGCGGTCGCTGCCGGGATGACCCTTTGATTGTTTGTTATTTTACGTTTTTTAAAATAAATAAATAAATAAATAAATAAATAAATAAATAAATAGGGGGCGGGGGGGGCAGTGGGACGCCTGCTGTTGTCCGCAATTTCTCTCTTCTACGTCTCTTTATTATTATTTTTTCCTTGTCCCGTTCCAAATTTTCATGTTTTTGGTTAGTGGGAAAAAGTTTTGCTGTCGGGTTGAAGCCGCAGCTTGAAAGAATTAAAAATGACCCCGGTCGGTTGGTCTGCCTGCCTGCCTGTTTATTTGTCTTTCTCTCTCTCTTCCTCTTCCTCTCTCTGTCTCTCTCTCTCTCTTCCTCTCTCTCTCACTCTCTTCCACTCTCTTCCTCTTTCTCTCTTTCTCTGTCTCTCTCTTCCTCTCTGTCTCTGTCTTTCTTCCTCTCTCTTCCTTCCTTTCTCTTCCTGTCTCTCTCATTCTCTTCCTCTCTTCTCTCCCTCTCTCTCTGTCATTCTTCCTCTCTTTTCCTCTGTCTCTCTCTTCCCCTCCCTCTCTCTCTGTGTCTCTCTCTCTCCCTTCCTCTCTTCTTGTCTCCCTCTCCCTCTTTTTGTCTCTCTCTGTCTCCCTTCCTCTCACTCTCTTCCTGTCTGCCTCTCTTCCTCTCTCTCCCTTCCTCTCTTCCTGTCTCTCTTCCTGTCTCTCTCTCTCCCTTTTTCCTCTTTCTCTTCCTCTCTCATTCTCTCCCCCTCTCTCTGTCATTCTTCCTCTCTCTTTCCTGTCTCTCTGTCTCTCTTTCCCTTCCTCTCTTCCTGTCCCTCTCACTCTCTTCCTCTATCTCTGTCTTCCCCCCTCTCTTCCTCTCTCTCTTCCTTTCTTTTTCTTTCTTCCTCTTTCTCTCTATTCCTCTTCCTCTCTTGCTCCCTTTTCCTCTCTCTCTTCCTCTTCCTCTCTTTTTCTTCCTCTCTCTCTCTTCCTCTCTCTCTCTTCCTCTCTCTTCCTCTCACTTTCTCTCTCTTCCTCTCACTTTCTCTCTCTTCCTCTGTCTCTCATTCTCTTCCTCTCTCTCTTCCTCTCTCTCTCTCTTCCTCCCTTTTTTAAATTTTTGCAGCTGATGCCTTCTTTGTCAAGGGCGAAAGATATCGTCAAATACTCAGTGCCGTTCTGAAAATTACAGTAAACATAATAATTTTCCAGCTGGGGATGTGTCCCTGCTTGTTCCTGTTTAATCACAGGCTAAAGGCTGCTCTGTGAACTGAGCATTTTCCTTTTTCCTGGAACTCCTCGACTTACGACTGTTCATTTAGTGACCATTTGAAATTACAACCATCCTGAAAAAAGCGACTTATGTTCATTTTTCATTACAGGTAGTCCTCACCTTACGATCCGCAATCGAGCCCAAGATCTATGTCGCTAAGTGAGTCATAGGTTTAAGTCAGTTTTGCCCCATTTTACGACCTTTCTTGCCACATTTGTTAACTGAATCACTGCAGTTGTTAAATTAGTAGCACCGTTGTCAGTTTCCAAATGTCTGAATATAAATTACGGGACCATGGGGATGCTGCAACGGTCATAAGTGTGAAACATGTCAGAAGTCACTTTTTTCAGTGTGGTCGTAACTTCGGTCACTAAATGAACTCGAGGACTACCTGTGCTTACGACCAGGCAGCATCCTCGTGGTCATGTGATCAAAATTCAGATGACTCGTATTTATGACAGTCGCCGCGTCTCCAGGAGATGGGGGTGTCATGTCACGTGATTCCCTTTTGCGACCTCCCGCCAAACCAAGTCCACGGGGGAAGCCAGATTCACTTAACAACCGGGTGAGTAATTTAACATCTGGAGTGATTCACTTAACGACTGTGGCAAGAAAGGTCGTAAAATGGGGCAAAAATCCACAACTCTCTTGCTTAGCATCGGCAATATCGGTCGTAAATCGAGGACTACCCATATTCCTTATTTTCACTAAAAAAAAGATTTATTATCCCCTTTTTTTGTGTGCACAGAAATGTGGGTAAACTGGTTATTTTTATCTCCCCTCCCCCATCTTATGTTACAGGTAGTCCTCCACTTACGACTTGTTCGCTTAAGGACCGTTGGAAGTGATGACTGCCCTGAAAAGAATTACTCGTCACGTGATTTTTTCCCCCTGCGTCACCTTCCCAGCTGGCTTTCGACGAGCCAAATCAAGGAAAGGAGGAAACTGGATCTGCTTAACGACCGCATGAGGCGCGGAAAGCCGGTGGGATTCACTTAGCGGCGGCAGCAGCCAAAGAGGTTGTAAGGTTGGGTGCGACTCATCGGGTGATGGAGGTTTCGATCCCAGTTGTGTTTTTTTTGGTGCCTGCCCAGAAGGGAGTTACTACCTACCTAAAATTCAAGGCAGAGCAGGACGGGGTTACGTGGGTGGAGGGAAACTCGAGAAAATGTATATTTATTCTCATTGCACAAGCTCTAAGTAAGGCTTCCAGGAGTAAGCAGGATTTACTCCCAAGTAAATGCTTGTGTGGGGTTGAAAAGGAAGGAGTGTGTGCTCCTCCTTCTTTTGTTCTTCTCTCTTCCTCCTCCCTCTTCCTCTCTCTTTTTCTTCCTTCCTCCTTCTCTCTTATCCTCTTTTCCTCCCAGTCTTTCTTTCCCTCCCTCCCTCCTTCTCCTCCTCCTCTTCTTCTTCTTCTTCTTCTTCTTCTTCTTCTTCTTCTTCTTCTTCTCTTCCTCCTCCCTTTCCCTCCCTTCCTCTTCCTCTTCCTTCCTTCCTTTTTCCTTCTGCCCTTCCTTCTTCTCCTTCTTTTCCTCCTCCCTCCCTCTCTATTTTTTCCTTCCTTCCTTCCTTCCCCTCTCTTTCTTTTTCTCCCTTTCCTTCTCCCTTCCCCTTTCTCTCTTTTCTCCCCTCCCGACCGGCTTGGCCTTGCCCTCCTTCTCCTCCTTTTTGCCTCCCTTCCTCCTTCTTTTCTTTCCTCCCCCTCTCTCCTCCCCCTCCTTCCCTCCTCCTTTTCCTTCCTTCCCCTCCCTCTTTTCCTTCCTTTGCCTCCTTCTTTTCCTTCCCGCCCCTCTCTCTTTTTCCTTCCCTCCCTCCTTCTTTTCCTCCCTTCCCCTTTCTCTCCTCCCTCCCCTCCAGACCAGCTTGGCTTCACCTTCCTTTCCTCCTCCTCCTCCTTCCTTTTTCCTTCCCTCCCTCCCTCCCTCCCTCTCTTTCCTTTTCTTTCTTCCTCTTTTCCTTCTGCCCTTCCTCTCTCTTTTCCTTATTCCCCTTCCCCCCTCTCGCTTCCTCTCCTTCCCTCCCTCCTTCTTTTCCTTCCTGCCCCTCTCTTTCTTTTTCTCTTTCCCTCTCTCCCACCTCCCTTCCCCTTTCTTTCCTTCCTCCCCTCCTGACCGGCCTGCCTCGCCTTTCTTCTCTTACCTCCCTCCCTCCTCCTCCTCCTTTTTGCCTCCCTCCTCCTTCTTTTCCTTCCTCCCTCTCTCTCCTTCCCTCCTTCCCTCTTTTTCTCTCTTCCCTCCCTTCCCCTTTCTCTCCTTCCTCCCCTCCTGACCGGCCTGGCCTTGCCCTCCTTCCCTCCTCCTTCTCCTTTTTGCCTCCCTTCCTCCTTCTTCTCCTTCCTCCCTCTCTCTCCTTCCCCTCCTTCCTCTCCTTTTCTCCCTTCCTCCCCTTCCCCCTTCTCCCTTCCCCTTTCTCTCCTTCCTCCCCTCCCGACCGGCCTGGCCTTGCCCTTCTTCTCTTCCCTCCCTCCATTCCTCCCTCCTTCCCTCCTTTCTCTCCTCCTCCCGGCCGCTTGCCCTTCCTCCGCCCGCCCTCTAATTGGAGCCAGACCCCGAGGCGAATCGGGCTCCAGAAGGGCCGGCTCAGCGATCCAGGAGCGGCGGGGCCAGGAGGCGGCGCGGGCAAGAGAGAGAGAGAAAGAAAGAAAGAAAGAAAGAAAGAAAGAGAGAGAGAGAAAGAGAGAAAGAAAAAAAAAGAGAGAGAGAGAGAGAAAAAAACTCTTCCAGCAGCAGCAGCAGTTCTTTCGCTCTCCTTTCTTTCTTTCTTTCTTTCTTTTCTTTCTTTTCTTTCTTTTCTTCCTTCCTTCTTTTCCTTCGAGAGCGAAGCAAGCGGGCGATGTGGCTCCTCCGGCTGCTGCTGCCCATCGCCTGGGCGTCCTGCACTCTCCCCGCCGCTGCCCAGCAGTTCAGCCCCGAGGTGAGTCCTGGCTCCTGGCCAGACGGTGCCCGCCCCGCCTCGGTTGGCTTGGCACGGGACGAGCCCGGCCGACGGGGCTCGCGGGAGGGAGAGGGAGAGGGAGAGGGAGAGGGAGGGAGGGATGGCGGCGAGGGAGGGTTGCCCGTGTCCCTGCATGGATCTCTGGGCTCCTGGGCGGGTTTTAGACTTCATTCTTCCTTTCTTTTCTTCTTTCCTTGTTTTGTTTCCTTCTTCCTTTCCTTTCTTCCTTTCTATCTATCTTTCTTTCTTTCTTCTTTTCTTGTTATGTTTCTTCCTTTCCTTTCTTCTTTTCTATCTTTCTTTCTTTCTTCTTTTCTTATGTTTCCTTCTTCCTTTCCTTTCTTCTTTTCTATCTTTCTTTCTTTCTTCTTTTCTTGTTGTTTCCTTCTTCCTTTCCTTCTTCTTTTCTTGTTACGTTTCCTTCTCCCTTTCCTTTCTTCTTTTCTATCTTTCTTTCTTCTTTTCTTATGTTTCCTTCTTCCTTTCCTTTCTTCTTTTCTATCTTTCTTTCTTTCTTTCTTCTTTTCTTGTTGTTTCCTTCTTCCTTTCCTTTCTTCTTTTCTTGTTACGTTTCCTTCTCCCTTTCCTTTCTTCTTTTCTATCTTTCTTTCTTTCTTCGTTTCAAACTTCCTTTCCTTTCTTCTTTTCTTGTGATGTTTCCTTCTCCCTTTCCTTTCTTCTTTTCTTTCTTTCTTTCTTTCTTCGTTTCAAACTTCCTTTCCTTTCTTTTCTTGTTATGTTCCTTCTTCCTTTCCTTTCTTCTTTTCTATCGATCTTTCTTTCTTTCTTCTTTTCCTGTTATGTTTCCTTCTTCCTTTCTTCTTTTCTATCTTTCTTTCTTTCTTCGTTTCAAACTTCCTTTCCTTTCTTCTTTTCGGTCTATCTTACCCTCCTCTTCCTTTCCTCTGTTTTTTTTTCTTCTGTTCTATCTTCCTTCCCTTCTATCTTCCTTTCTTCTTTTCTATCTTTTGCCTTTCCTTTCTTCTATTTCCTTTTCCTTTCTTCTTTTCCATCTTCCCTTCTGTCTTCCTTTCTTCTTTTCTATCTGTTGCCTTTCCCTTCTTCTATTTCCTTTTCCTTTCTTCTTTTCCATCTTCCCTTCCCTTCCTTCTTTCTTGTCTTCCTTTCCTGGTGTTCCTTCTTCCTTTCCTTTCTTCTTTTCTATCTACCCTTCCCACCTCTTCCCTTTCCCTTCCTCTGTTTATTTTTCTTTTCTTCTTTTCTATCTTCCTTTCCTTTTGTCTGTTTACTTTTCCTTTCTTCTTTTCTATCTTCCCTTCCGTTCCCTTTCTTCTTTCCTGTCTTCCTTTCCTTGTTTTCCTTCTTCCTTTCCTTTCCTCTCTTCTTTTCTGTCTCCTTCCCTTCCCCATCTGCTTTCCCTTTCTTTTCCTTTCTTCTTTTCTATCTTTCTTATTTTTCATTTCTTCTTTTCTATCTTCCCTTCCCTTCTACCTTTGTTTCTTTTCCTTTCTTCTTTTCAATCTTCCCTTCCCTCCTCTTCCCTTCCCTTCCTTCCCCTCCCCTCCCCTTCTATGTTCCTCTCTTTTTCCTTTCCTTTCCTTTCCTTTCCTTTCCTTTCCTTTCCTTTCCTTTCCTTTCCTTTCCTTTCCTTTCGTCTCCTCTCCTCTCCTCTCCTCTCCTATTTTCTTTTTCTTTTCTATCTTCCTCTTCTCCTGATTAGCTCCCCCCCCCCACTTTTCCTTAAGCAGTGGGGCACCCACTTCACTTCATTTCTCTCCCCATTTTCCTGCCTCTTCTCTCTGCCAAGCTTCCCCTCACCTTTTGCACCCCTTGATTTCTCTTTACAGCTGGTTTGCTCGTTTACTCCTCCCTTCATCTTTTTTTTTTTTTTACTATCCTTTGTTCCTCCCTCTTCTTGGATGAGTTCTGCAGCTGGATGGAGGAGGGCTGTTTCCAGGCCAAGGCATGTGCCTGTCTCGCACTCCTTCTGCGGCCAACCTCATTTGCACGGACCGGCTCCAAGATTGGATTCGCATGGCCCGAATTTCTTTTCTCTTTTCAGGGTTTTTTTTTCCCTCTTTCCTTTCCAGCCCACCCCCTCCCTCCATCTCTCTCTCTAAACATGATGTCAGATGATTTTTCCTTTCCTCTCCTTTCCTTTTTCTATCCTCTTTTCCATTCCTTTTTCTATCTTCTTTTCCTTTTTCTATCTTCCTCTCCTCTCCTTTTTCTGTCTCCCGTTCCTTTTTCTATCCTCCTCTCCTTTCCTTTTCCTTCCCTTTTTCTATCTTCCTTCCCTTTTTCTATCTTCCTCTCCTTTTTCTGTCTTCCTTTCCTCCTTTCCTTTCCTTTTTCTATCTTTCTTTCCTTTTTCTATCTTCCTCTCCTCTCCTTTTATTTTTCTATCTTCTTACCTTTCCTTCCTTTCCTTTATTTTTTCCTGTTTCTATCTTCCTCTCCTCTCCTTTTTCTGTCTCCCTTTCCTTTTTCTATCTTCCTCTCCTTTCCTTCTCCTTCCCTTTTTCTATCTTCCTTCCCTTTTTCTATCTTCCTCTCCTTTTTCTGTCTTCCTTTCCTCCTTCCTTTCCTTTATTTTTCTATCTTTCTTTCCTTTTTCTATCTTCCTCTCCTCTCCTTTTCTTTTTCTATCTCTTTCCTTTCCTTTATTTTTCCTGTTTCTATCCTCTCCTCTCCTTTTCTGTCTCCCTTTCCTTTTTCTATCTTCCTCTCCTCTCCTTTTCTGTCTCCCTTTCCTTTTTCTATCTTCCTCTCCTTTCCTTCTCCTTCCCTTTTTCTATCTTCCTTCCTTTTTTCTATCTTCCTCTCCTTTTTCTGTCTTCCTTTCCTCCTTTCCTTTCCTTTTTCTATCTTTCTTCCTTTTTCTATCTTCCTCTCCTCTCCTTTTATTTTTCTATCTTCCTTACCTTCCTTTCCTTTCCTTTCCTTTTTTTCCTGTTTCTATCTTCCTCTCCTTCCTTTTTCTATCTCCCTTTCCTTTTTCTATCTTCCTCTCCTTTCCTTTCCCTTTCCTTTTTTCTATCTTCCTTCCCTTTTTCTATCTTCCTTCCTTTTTCTGTCTTCCTTTCCTCCTTTTCTTTCCTTTCCTTTTTCTTCTTTCTTTCCTTTTTCTATCTTCCCTTCCTCTCCTTTTTTTTCTATTTCCTTTCCTTTCCTTTTTCCTGTTTCTATCTTCCTCTCCTCTCCTTTTCTCTCCTCCCTTCCCTCCCTTTATCTTCCTTTCTTTTCCTTTCTTCTTCTCTATCGTCCTGCCCTGCCCTGCTCTGTCCTGTCCTGCCCTGCCCTGCCCTGTCCTGTCCCATCCTGCATTTATGGGTGTATTCTATAGGATTTTTTTATTTTTGCAAATGGCTCCTGGAGTGGAAAAATTAGCCATCCTCTTTTCCGTCTTCCTCTTTTGCTCTCAGGGTCCCCGGCATCCATTCCTCCCTTGTGATTCTTGTTCTTTTCCTGGGCCAGTGAATAGCGGAGAATTATCCCATGTTCCACAGCTCCGCGGGGCCACTAACTGGGTTTGATGTGCCTTGAGAAAGAAGGGATTTGGAGCCCCACTCTCCCGGACTGTAGGACATGAGGGGAAGTTGAGTGAGCTACTCTTAAACTAACTTTTTTTTCTTTCTTTCTTTTTCTTTCTTTCTTTCTTTCTTTCTTTCTTTCTTTCTTTCTTCCTTCCTTCCTTCTTCCTTCCTTCCTTCCTTCCTTTCTCCCTTTCTCCCTTCCCTTCCTTCCTTCCTTTCCTCCCTCCCTCTTCCTTCCTTCCTTTCCTTCTTTCCTCCTCCCCTCCCTCCCTCCCTCCCTCTTTCTTTCTTTCTTTCTTTCTTTCTTTCTTTTCTTTCTTTCTTTCTTTCTTTCTTTCTTTCTTTCTTCTTCCTTCCTTCCCTTCCTTCTTTCCTTCCTCCCTCCATCTTTCTTCCTCCCTTCCTTTCCTTCTTTCCTTCCTTCCTCCCTTCCTCTTCCTTCCTTCCTTTCCTTCTTCTTTTTTTTTTTTAAATTTGATTTATATGTCGCCCTTCTCCGGAGACTCAGGGCGGCTTACAATGCGTTAAGCAATAGCCTTCATACTTTTTGTATATTTTATACAAAGTCAGCTTATTGCCCCCACAAACTGGGTCCTCAATTTACCTACCTTAGAAAGGATGGAAGGCTGAGTCAACCTTGAGCCTGGAGAGATTCGAACCAGCAGAAATTGCAGGCAGCTGGTGTTAATCACAATGCTATCAGTCTGCTGAGCCACCAGGCCCTTCCTTCCTTCCTTCCTTCCTTCCTTCCTTCCTTCTTCCTTCCTTCCTTCCTTCCTTCTTTCTTTCTTTCTTTCTTTCTTTCTTTCTTTCTTTCTTTCTTTCCATTCTTTCCCTCCTTTTCTTTCTCTTTCTTTTTCCTTCCTTCCTTCCTCCTCCCTCCCCATTCACAAGATGACAACATAGCGGTGTGAATCTCTTCCCTTCTAATTCGAGAAAAAAATATCCACTGTAAGGGGGAAAAAAATGGGCATGAGTAATAGTGAGGAAACGGTTTACGTTTTCTCGTGTGAGCACTGCAATTCAGGACAGACAAAGAGAGAATCAGAAATGATTTAGCTCATTTAAATCAAATCAAGAAGTTGGGATTGCTGATACGATAACGTCTTTTATTGGGGAGCGGGGGTGTCTTTCCATTTAACCGTTTTAAACTTGGGTGTGAACATTGTGCTCCGCGCCTCACAAACGCCTCACAAACGCCAGCAAACCAGAGTGAACAGGCCGCGCGGGTGGTGAGGGAGCGACGGGGCGCTCCCATGTAACACCTCTCCTGCGCGAGCTGCGCTGGCTCCCGGTGGTCTTCCGGGTGCGCTTCAAGGTTTTGGTTACCACCTTTAGAGCGCTCCATGGCTTAGGACCTGGCTACTTACGGGACCGCCTACTACCACAAATAGCCTCCCACCGGCCGGTACGCTTTCATAGAGAGGGGCTCCTCCGGGTGCCGTCGGCCAAACAGTGTCGACTGGCGGTCCCCAGGGGAGG